TATAATTACACCTACACCATTTTTAGTGCGACTCTTATCTGAATACCAAAGTTTAAAACCTACATTATCAATCTCCTTAGCCTTTTCTCCCACCCACTTAGTTTCTTGAATACATAAGATATTAATTTTCTTATGAATCATAATATCAACTAATTCCATTAATTTACCATTGAGAGTGCCTATATTCCAAGATCCTATCCTAATATTAGTTTTATTAGTTTCATGAACTAACTTCTTTACCCGCATTCGCTCGTAATGTGGGAACCCTTGCTTATTTAACACTACACTCGGGCGCTGGTGTAGCGACCCTTGCACACTTTTCACCGTATTCAGGCTATACAGTGCGTCGCTTCCAGGGGACGCCATAGCACTTACACAATGATCAAAATGATTCATTTCATGATTTTTTTTGACAAGTTTTATGTTGGCTGTCAACTACCTAACGCAACCCTCCATTTTTCGCATCCGGGCTTGGGACTGACAACGACAGTGTTACATATCAAACAACTAAACATTTATATTCAATAAAAGCTTCCTGCATACATTTCATATTTTATGGGATTTCAAAATGTCTTTCATTACAAAAATGATTATTAAAACCAATCCCAAAGTAATAATCTATGATAGCCAATCTTAAAAGGAAGAGTGGAAATATTAGTAGATTAAAATCTTGTGGTGAAACATGAAAATGAGCCAGGAATAAAGCTATAAGATTATATATTACTAAGTCATCTTGTAAATAATTTAAAATAAATGTAGTCTTCAAAATAACAAACTTAGGCCATTGAAAACACACTAAATGCATAATTATATTAGGAATTGAAAATTTGGGAATCATTTTTGGATCAATTTATACAAAATCCAGTCTTGTGATGAATTTCTTTTTGTAACACTCAATTTTATGTACTTATATATACATATTATGTGATGTTAAATATTTTACTGTTATTGGGGCTTTCTGGTTAATGCTCTAAGCAATTCAAAGATATAAAAATAAACAATAGTAAGGATGGTAAAGTCAAGACCTTGCACCAAACCACCACCAACACATAACAGGGAAGCCCCATCAACACCATCTCAAGCACTACAGCACCTTAAGCGTCAAACCATCAACACAAAAGAAAATCGAGAAGCTCAATAGGGAGAGCAAATATAGAAAATGGAAAGCAACATACCACCACACCAGAAAACAACCATGAAGCCCCATCAATACCACCTCAAGCTCCAAACCACCTCAGACAATATACCACCAAACCACCTCCAAACGAAAAAAGCAACATATCACCTTAAGCACCAAAACACTAAACCACTAACAAGTAAAGCGAGAAGCTTAAGAGGGAAAACAAATAGGCATAACGAATAACAACATTCTACCATTACAGTGGACTACCGGGAAGCCAAATCAGTACGACCTTTTACAACCTCAAACAACAAGCACCAAACTACTAAGAGAAGGAAAATCGAGTGTAATAGGCAAAAGACATGAATAAAACAGAAGGTATCAAGCCAACAACATAAAGAAAAACCAAGAAAGAAAGAAAGAAAGGTGAATGTTACATACAGAAAAAGGCGATAACATTGAAGACAAACAAAGGCGAGAAAGGTGAAGAACCACAAATGTACCTTAAAACCACAACGAAAGTCGAATTGAGGGAGAAGGGACGATTATCGGGGACATAGGGGGTTATTTAATGAATTGTGGAAGAGTAGGTTAGTAATTTCTCACCCAAACTGGACTCTACATTGCAATACAGAGGCAATCTCGATCGTTCGAGATTTCTTCGTTCTGAGAACATGCGGCGACAAAATGCAAGCACAAGCGCACTCCCGAACAACAACAGGTGCATTTTAAGAAAAAAAAAACAAGTTGAAACGCCCTCCCCAATGGGCCTTTATTTTGCAAAGAACCAAAAAAATTTAAAATATCCAAAATACATAGCAATGAAAGTACCATACAAATCTTTTGTATTAAATTTTATTTTCAACAAACCAAACATCCAAAGCCCGAAGCCTATTACTATGGTTGTAAATGAATCAATGCACTGGATGAACGACTCAAACTCAGCTCGATTAAGACTCGATCATGTTCATTCAAATTAGTAAATAAATAAGCTTGAATAATTTTTAAAAGCACGGAGTTTAAATGAAACTAAAAATGAACACAGTTGAACTTGTTCATTTATGTTCAGAAACAAACTCGTTTGTTGTTCAACAAGTAACTATTTAAATACTCGATATTAAACTCGATGATAACTCATATCATATATGATATATTATTTAAATAAAATTAAATTAACTAGAATTTATTTAATTATAGATTTAATAGTAATACATTATTATATCAATAATATTTTTAGATTAATTCAGAATTATATATTTATTTTACACTACGAATTTAGATTTTTTTTTTTCGGATAGCAACAATTCGTCAGTTATTATAAGAAAAACCGTCGTTTTAAATGTTACTATTATTTTTTAAGCTCGTTGGTAAAATATTTGTCTGTAATTTCTAAAACAATCGATATTTCTAGAATATAAATTTACCGACGGTTATCCTACAGTTTAATGTCATAGCTTTTTTAGAGAAAATTGTCGGTAAACGTTGGTTTGTATAACCGACGGTTCTTCCGTCGGTAATAACGACGACATAGATATCAAGAAAGTGTTGCACCCATCAATTTTTTGAAGAATGTAAAATCGTCAGTTATACAACATTTATGTGTTGTTTTTTTATAACCGATGGGTTAAGTGTCGGAAAAGTGTAGCACTTTTCAGTTTTTTTTACGCCAATAAAAAATGTCGTCGGTTAAGTGTCGTTTTTTATAACCAACGCGTTAACTGTCAAAAAAATGTCGCACCCATTTTTTTGTGACGCACCTTAAGACGTCAGTAAAAATGTTCATCAGCTAGCCGTTGGTTTTGCCTATGGATAAGTTCGGAACCGTCGCAACTGACGGTAAGCTGTTGGAAACCTGTAGCGTAAGAAAAAAAATAAATTCTTTGGATATTTTATATGAAAATTTAGATAGTTGTTTGAATTTTTAGCTCATGAAATAGTGGTTCAATCATGATAAATAAATTAAAAAAATTCGGATATTTTATATGAAAATTTAGATAGTTATTTGAATTTTTAGCTTAGTGGTTCAATCATGATAAATAAATTAAAAAAATTTAAGCAAATTAAAAAATTTAAACAAATTAAATTTAAATAATATACGAAAACCCAAGTAAAACATCAATAATCTGCTAGACTCGTCTAGAACCCACCAATGTTCCTTTTGTCGCTTTTCTCAGTTTCTGCGTGTTCGAATTAGGTTAGGGTTTCCGAGACACTTGCATCGCAAAATCGTGTAATCCCTCTGCAATCTAACCAAATCAGCCACCTCAGTGTACCAATGGCGGCCGCCGTTACAGCTCCCGCCACCGCCCAATCCCGGTCTCCTCGAAGACGGAGAGTTACGTCGACAACAAGCGGCGTGATGACATCCGGCAGGCCAACATCCTCGCGGCAAGCGCTGTGGCTGACGCCGTGCGCACTAGCCTAGGCCCAAAGGGCATGGACAAGATGATCTCCTCAGCCAACGGCGAGGTTATCATTACCAATGACGGTGCCACCATTCTTAACAAGATGGAAGTTCTCCAGCCCGCCGCCAAAATGCTAGTCGACCTATCTCGCTCCCAGGACGCCGCGGCTGGCGACGGCACCACTACTGTAGTCGTTCTTGCTGGTTCTCTTCTCCGTCGTTCTCTCTCCCTTCTCTCTGCGGGCATACACCCCACCGTCATTTCTGACTCCCTTTACAAGCTTTCTGTTCATGCTGTTGACATCCTCCACTCCATGGCTATTCCCCTTGAGCTTTCCGATCGCGATTCCCTTGTCAAGTCTGCCGCTACCTCGTTAAATAGCAAGGTTGTTAGCCAGTACTCCTCCCTTCTTGCCCCTCTTGCTGTTGACGCTGTCCTCTCCGTTGTTGATTCTGAACATCCCGACCTCGTCGACCTTCGTGACATTAAGATCGTTAAGAAGCTAGGCGGCACTGTTGACGACACTGAGCTCATCCGCGGCCTTGTATTTGATAAGAAGGTAAGCCACACGGCCGGCGGCCCTACTCGCGTTGAGAATGCCAAGATCGCAGTCATTCAGTTTCAGATTTCCCCCCCAAAAACGGATATCGAGCAGAGCATTATTGTCTCGGATTACACCCAGATGGATCGGATCCTTCGAGAAGAGCGCAACTATATTCTAGGAATTGTAAAGAAAATTAAAGCCACGGGGTGCAATGCGCTTCTTATCCAGAAGAGTATCCTTAGAGATGCCGTCACTGATCTTTCACTGCATTATCTTGCCAAGGCCAAGATTTTGGTGGTAAAGGATGTAGAGAGGGATGAAATTGAGTTCATCACAAAGACTCTCAACTGTCTCCCGATTGCTAACATTGAGCATTTTCGTGAGGAGAAGCTCGGTCATGCTGACCTAGTGGAAGAGGTTTTGATTGGTGATGGAAGTAAGATTGTGAAGATTACAGGCATCAAAGACATGGGGAGGACTACTACTGTGCTTGTGCGGGGTTCGAACCAGTTGATGATCGATGAGGCAGAAAGGAGTCTTCACGACGCACTTTGTGTGGTCAGGTATGGCGTCCTGAATCTTCTCTTGTATATTGCCTCCTTGTGATCATTTGGGCTAGTGCAAAAACCGCATATTTCTTATTTATTACCTCAGTTTTGAATATCTGATTTTTAGCAATGTTTGTTCCAATGAAAGGGGGCATGGTGGTAAATATTGTTAGTGTTCAGTTAGGGGTTGGATGGAGGATGGAGGATTAGTATTTAACACGGCTTTGGATTTTAGTTTTCTATCAAGATTTGTATTTATTATGGTGGATTAATCAATATTTGTAAACCAAACCTTTCATTTAAGCTTGAGTAGTAGAAAGATATTCTCACGTTATTACTAAAGTCTCAGTTATGATGCTAACCATTAGTCTTGACTCGTCTTTTCCCCAGAAAAAGCTAAAATTTATTGTTGTGTGTAGATATCTATTAATGAAGTTTCTGAAAACATTTGCTAAAGTTTATTGCTGGTGGATTAATCAATATTTGCTAAAGTATTTTTTTAGATAAAGATATTCAACATAGGTGCGTAAGCTATTTTGATCAACGTTTCAATGAAGTTTATGAAAATACGATCGACTTTAGTGATCTTTCATTAATAATAAATTTTTTTTATTTTCAGTGTCACATTAGTAAGAAGGAAGTTGAGGAGGCTTTAATGTAAACCAAGGGGGGAAAATCAGTTGGACTTGATGATATATCTATTGAAGTGTAGAAATATCTATGAGATTTAGGAGTTTCTTGACTTACTAAACTCTTTAATATTATTTTAAAAGCTAAAACGATGCCCGAGTGGTGGAAGAGTATTTTGGTCCCCTTTTCTAAGAGTAAAGTGGATGCACAAAAGTGCGCAAATTATAGATAATTTAAGTTAATGTTTCATACTTTAAAATTATGGGAGAGGGTAATTGAACATAGGTTAAGACATGATACAAAAATTTCTCGTTATCAGTTTGGATTTATGTCGGGAAAGTCGACCATAAAAGCTATACATTTATTGAGAGATTTGATGGAGAAGTACAGAGAGAGTAAGGAGGATCTACATATGATTTTTATTGATGTAGAAAAATGCTTACAATAAAGTTCCCAGTGGTTCTTTGAAGAGTTCTAGAAAAGAAAAGTGTTGATGTGACTTATATTCGAGTCATTAAAGATATGCATACTAGAGTTGTTACTTGTGTTCGAGCAGGAGGACTGACATAATATTTTTCTATTTCAGTTGGATTACATTAGGGATTTGCTTTAGGCCCATATTTTTTGCTTTAGTTTTGGATGTTCTCACTGGACATATACAAGAGGATGTGCCTTGGTATATGCTTTTTGCTGATGATATCTCTCTTTTGGGTAAAACTAGAGAAGGAGTTCAGGAAAAACTTGATTTATGGTGGTCTTCATTGGAGTCTAAAAACCTTCGTTTGAGTAGATCTAAAATTGAATATATGGAATATAATTTCAGTAGTAGTAGCACCAGTGACAGAGTTGTAAATATGGGCGATCAAATCATTAAAAGGTGTGAACATTTTTGATATCTCGGTTCTATTGTTCAAAGCGATGGTGATATGGATGGAGAAGTTATTAGTTGAATTTAGGTTGATGTGGAGGAATGCATCAGTCCTTTTTTTGTGATAGAAAATTACCGTTTAAACTGAAAGGATAATTTTATAAGATGGTGGTGAGAATTGCAACGCTTTATGGTGCAGAATGTTGCCCTTTAAAAGTGAAGCATAAAACAAAGGTGAGTGTTGCTGAGATGAGAATGCTTAGAATGCTTAGGTGGATAAGTTAGGTGGATAAGTGGCTTGACAGTTAGAGACAAAATGCGAAAAGAATCTATCCGTAAAAGGGTAGGTGTAGCTCCAATTGCAGACAAAATTAAAGAAAGTCGTGTTAGGTGGTTTGGTCATATTAAATGTCGACCACATGATGATTCAGTTAGGAGAGTAGATGTTTTAGATTCAACTTATGTTCAGAAAGGCAGAGGTAGACATAAAAAGACTTGGTCATATTATATAAAAAATGATCTTAATATATTAGAATTAAATGAAAATATGACACTCAATAAAACACAATGGAGAAAAAAGATTCATGTGACCGACCAAACTTAGTGGGATAAAGGTTTGTTGTTGTTATGTTGTGTAGATATCTGTTAAAATGGTCTTTATAGTTTAGAACTCTTTTTTTTTTGGGAGGGGGGAATGTAGACAAATCAAATAATAATTGGGAGACTTTTGTATTTTTATATTATTTTAGCATGAATACATGACTATTGGTGCTCTAAACATTACTTTAGCTTCTTTATTGCGATCGGGGGGACTTTTCAATCAAATGAAACCCTTTTGCAGTTTTGTTATTTTCATAGAAATAGACAAATTTTGATGGCTTTTGTGTGAACAAATCTCTTTTTTCTGCATTTTAAATTCTTAAAGCTTATTTTTCCCTCATGGATGGCCGATAATTCTTATCAAGGCATTATTGATTTATATCAAATTAGAGGTAGGCCTTCAGAAATGACCAGATCTCCCACTATGATCTACATGTGACTATTTTGAATAACAAAAATAGCCTTTTTGTATTGCACCTGTAAGGCTGTGCATATTAATCCCTTTACATCTTGCATTGGCAAAAAGCCTCACGCATTCATGTTTTTGGATACCTTGCTGATTTTCCTTGGTGTATTGTTTGGTAACGATGGAGGGTTCATTTGTTGCGACCTTTAATTATTCCGTAATATTTGACAATTGATATTAAATTTTTCTATCTTGTATGAGGGGAAGTTTTGCTAATATGTAGTGTTAATTTATTTAGTTATATGGTGTTTAGATATTTATTTATTGAGTGATTTTGTCTAGTTAAGGCAACAAAACATGTCTTAAGATATTTAATATAGACTATATAATATATGGCCATTTGAGGTTGTTGTTTCCCTTTTATTTAAATCAAGGTTTTGAAAATTGGATTGAATATTGAGATTCAAGATTTTAAATGTTCAACAGAGGTTATAATAAAAGTTGAATTAAATGATATAATAAATATTAAAATTATTTTGTACTGTTTAAAAGATAAAGAAATGATGTAATAATGATATTTATCACATTAAGATACCATATAATATTGCATTGAATTATTTTTAATATAATTCAAACTAAAATTTTGGGGCATGGTATTTAAATTATTTTATCTATGTTTTATTTAAATATTTTATATTAGCCATTCGTTCAAAGTCAAAAGCTGAATATTAATCAATAGTTGAATCAAAGGTCTATTAAAAATCAGATAGCTTGATGATTCAACTAAAACAGGTATAGTTGAATGAGATGGTCCATTAAAAATCAGAATAGTTTAACGATATGGTCCAACCAACCGTTCTAGTCAGGGTTGTGTAAAAGAGGTTATGGATCTAGATTGAATTAGCCTGAGGATTGGTTCACAATTGAACTAATTTGGTTGGCTCGTTTAGTCAAATTTTTAAAATCATGGTTCATATCATAGAGGGCAAGTTATTCTGTTTATCTTTATATTTACATGATGTCATGTTTTTAATTTTTTTTAACTGTCATGTTTTTTTAATTTATTAAGAATAAGTTAGTCCTTATATGTATGCATTAGTCTTAGGGTTCGTTTGGTTCGGCGTCTGGAGTGCGGTGCGGGGAGTGGCTATGAATTTCGATCGTTTGGGATGACATCTGGCAGCGTTGTTCTGCTGTTTTGGTTAAACGTCGACCGCGGATTGAACTCTACGACTCGCGTTCGAGGGTTGGCTTATTGCAAATTTTTTCTCTCTATCCTTCGATCCCAGCGTTCGACCCCATCTGTTCAATCCCGCTGCTTTGCCCAAATCCCTCTCTGTTCGACCCCGACTCCATCGTCGCTCCTCTGCTGTCGACGACACCGTCCCTTCTTCCATTCCTCTGCTGTTTGGCGACGCCATCCCTCCTCGCACCTACCTCCTGGACGCCTTCCCAAACCGCACGGTTCTATCTCCTATCCTCTTTATTGCTCCTTTATGTTATTTGTTCTTGTTGTCTCGTTGTTGGGGCTTATGGATTCAGATGGTCATTTTTACAGCATTACTACACAGGGGCAGGATGTTCATTTTTTTAGAAAGAGCTGTCAAACAGTTATTTTCATTCTGTAAAAAACAAATAGGTAGTCAGCTTTCCCACAGCAACTTCCCCACAACAACTTTATGGGGCAACTATTACAAACTAGCTTATTGGATAAGCTGCAGCTGCTCCAAACAGACCTTAATGTTATAATTCCTCATTTTTATAATTAAATGGTTCTATTCTTGCTTTAGACATTATATATTGAACGGCCTTAATGTTATAATTCCTCATTTTTATAATAAGTGGTTCTATTCTTGCTTTAGACATTATATATTGAACATAAAAATCATGAACATTTCTCTACTATCCTTTTTTTTCCTTTGGCTTTCATTTGTTTTCTGGGGCCTAACCAACCTACTTTATACTATCAATCGAGAATTCTCTCTCTATTTCTCATCATACTCTTTTCTTTTCACTTTTTCTAAACTATATGGCCTTCTCTAGTGCAAGAATAATTTAAAAAGCACGAAGTTAGGATTTTGTACTACATTGTGTTTGCATTATCTTGAATCAGAGCACAATTATAATTCATAGAATTGTTTCCACTAGTGATAAATCATTAGTGTTATAAATTTTGCAGTTAGGTATCAAGTTGTTTTCTATTCGTGAGGATTTGTTAGTCCTAGAATCAAACCATTATGTTAGTAAACAAATATGAAGTAGGAAGTTTAATACTAACATCGAAGTACAATTTCAAAGTTTGATTAGAATAAGCTAAAATAATCTCTTAATAATAAGTCTTTCAATTTCAATTCAATGTAAATAGGTGATTTAAGTCACTAAGATTATAATTTATTAATTCAAAAGTCTTATCTACTCTCATCACTTGGTTGATCTTCCTCAAAATCATCACTATAGTAAATTGATCTCTCTTCTCTTTCATCTTCAGCTTCTTCAACAGCTTTCCAATTT